CACACGTAGCGAATGCCCATTCGTATCTTCTCTTGCATAACAACGGTTACGTATATACTCCGTCTGTCACTGCACTTGCCATCCTCTCAGTTTCTCCATTTTCCTCACCTTTTCATACAACGTCGGTTAGCCACTCTCCACTCCTTTCGTTCGTGGCCTCATTCTTACGGCTTAAAACTTTTTTCCGGGTCAATTTGCCCCAGACTTCCTCCAGTGGAGTAGTTGCCACGGCTAGAATCCAAGCGTCACGGTTTTACTAGTTCAGTCAATACATTTCAAGCGTCTGGCCAATAAACTTACAAGAAAAAAACAGTAATCTGTTGTTGCGTACAACTCAGCAGCAATGCTATTAACGTGCTACAAATGAGAATTTATTGATAATTCTAACCAAGCAATAAATCAAGTCAGGTCAACATCATGTTGACAGCAAGTTTTCTTATGGCGCCAGCGCAGAACTGCCTTACCCCATTTGCTAATGGTGCGCATTAATTGCAGGGCATAAGTGAGGAAGGCGATTTCCTGAGTCCATGCGATTTGCATACAACTTTTTCTGACGATTTACAAGCGTCGTCTTTGCTTCCTGGCAGTGTCAGCCTGAGCGGGCACACTCGCCTAAATTTTATGCAAGCTTACTGTACCGCAAATGAGTGAAATGCCAAAGGGAGGGTAAAGTAAGCATTAATTACAATCACACTGAAATGGTTGTCTTTGGAATAGCTCGATTGGCAGACTGAACATTCATAGTCAGATCACGAGTTGATTCCTGAGGCAGTCAAATTATTCGCAAATCGACGAGGCCACTTCATGCAACAGGAGGTTATGGAGTGTAGTGAGCTCAGAGCTGGAGCTATTGCCTTCGTACAAAAATGCTGTCAGACTGATGGTATGGAACAATATCATTTTTCCCAGCGTCATAGTGCAAGTTTCCGGAAAGAAGAGCTCAACTGATAGTTGGTGACACCATGACAGCTCCCAATTCATTCTTCCTTGTACATTTCTGTAAAACCTTTGCAAGGTTCTCGTCATAAGCTTAGTGAATCTTTCATTTAGATACCACAGAAATTAACAGAAACGAGCGTACAGTACGTAATATAAAGAAAATCTCGGTTGTTACTTGTCAACTTAAGAAAAATAATTTTATATACTCTTGTGCATCGACAGAAATGCTAAACTGCCTAAATTAACATTTCGCTCTTTGCTCGTAAGGCATTTCGTTGCTACAGCAGTTTCCTCATGGAATTTTTGACTTATGTTAACAACTGCTGCGAAGCTTGAAATTGAAGCCGATATTTTCTGAGGAAAATTATATGCAAGTTTTGAAGAACTCGAAGAAATTATCGGCTGTGTATACCTCGACCTTCAGGAGGACTGTGTAAACTTGTTAGACGGGGAAATCAGCAGAGGGAAAATAACGTTGGCCAGGCTTTAATCGTGCAAAGACATCCTCACTAGAGTGTGAACTATTTATGCAGGCGAGGAAAGAACTGTCCAATTCAATTGTCCTCTCCGCCGTGATCCACGACGCTGAGTGTTGGTCTGTCACTACAGAGGAGAATGACAAATTGATGGTAACTCAAAGGGCGATGGGTCTCCCAAGATGCATGCTCCAGGCGCACAACTTCGTTGACGGATCGGATTAACTAACAGACGTGATTTCTTCCACCCACAACGCCAAGAAACGATCAGCCGGCGACATGGCTCTGCTGAGACACAACCGGTGAACTTCAGGAATTACTGAGTTCCTCTGGGACATTAACATTCACTCGGTTCGCTTCAGCGATCCGGTCACTTGGCCTAAGGCAGAAACAGAAGGCATGGAACGAACAGTATTGGAGAAGTGACTTGATGTGAATGGTGCAAAGAAGTCGAATAACCGATATATAGTCGAGTAACCGATATATATGCGATATATTTTATTAATTTGCTTACTGCTCTTCACTTCACTATGGTCAATTCGAATCATGTCATTCTTTCAAAACGAATAGAAACATGATGAACAAAATTTTGATTTGTTGATAAAGAGACGATGAAGCCCGTTCGTCCACCGATCTCGTAGAAATATTATCCGTAGGTCAGACATATTTGCTTTACTATTTATCTGTGTGTAAGTAATCCGTTGTTATTGATGCCTTGTTCGCCAAATGTCTAAAAACAAATAACTTGGCTTAACGAGAATATTAACGAATAATAATATACCATCGCTCATACTCTCTTAACTGCCGCTCGTTCACGAGGATGATAATAGGTTGATCTTCACTAATTATCATTTTTATTTGAAGCTCAGACGCTCCTTTGCATCTTGAGACCGAAAAGAACAGTATTTCTGTCTGAGGCCATGGCAGAAAAATAAAAAGTAATGACGACAAAATAAATAAAACGAACATATTTAACAAATCAAAATTTCGACCAATTCTTCATGGGTTATCATCACGTACTGTTTATGAAAGTCAAGCTCTAATTTCTTTTGTTGTAATACATTACTCACAAGTTAGAAGCATTACAGAAGAAAATAATAGCACACTGCTCATTAGAACATAAAGACAAATGTTAAGTTTCATAAATGCTTAAAAGCATTATGCTTATTCCCCTGACAGCAACATTTTTCCATGGATCTGCCACAAAAATCTTGCTATCAGTTTCGAAGGTTCTGACGCCCAGAAGAAGAAACCCTTCAGGTATTTAGTTACCTCTAATCACTACAACTTATGGACTAACTGCGTGACAATCCGTTACGTGACTCGCAATCATCATGCCTCTATCGTGAGGCAGATCGACGCTGTTCCACTGAGTGCTCCGATTCTGCATCTTCCGTCCCAAACGGTAGCTAAGTAATTTAACAACCAGACGTTTCCAACGTATTTTTGGACGACCGAACAAGGTTCTTGGCGCAGCAGGGGACCTTGTTTAATTCTTGACGTTCACCGTTGCCCTTCAGGGGAGCCACGTGACCGACCCATCTTTTCTTGACGTCGTATAAGGCAGAAACTACGTGGGTTAAGTCTGACTGGTGTAGAATTTTGGCCGTCGGAACGTGATCCCAAACAGAGTCCTTGCATATTCTGTGTTTCAGCGCTTTTAGCGTGACAATCAGCTTGTTCCTCTCGGCTTTAGTATCAGAGCAGCTTTCAATGCTGTAGATCATGGCAGGAAGAATGGTTGTCTCTCAGAGACGGCTCACTGTCGAGCAGCGACGACCAAACGCGGTTAACGCTGGCTTATGCTGCATTCCTAATTCTGCACATGAGAAAATATCTGTATCTCTGAAGGACATTATGGATGTGATATGCAAAGTGAAAAATTGGAAATTGACTCAAACTAAAGTGAAACTTTGCATAGCGTTATTCTTGTCATTCATTAATCCAACAGTTGCTGACCGATCTTCCGCTGAACAGAGCACCGGTTGAAATAAATAGGCAATGACCAGATGGCAGACCCTACTATGTAATTTTAATGCAATTTGTTACGAAGTCAGAAGCTCGGACTTTCTGGAAAACCCAGATGAAAATTTGTCTCTAGCTTAGCTTCCAATGAACAAATTCATTCTTTCATTTGTACTGAACCACATGGTGATTATGCAAAACGTGATTATACAAAACTCAGCGTTTCATTTCATTCATCCTCCAACGACGGAGAAAGCGTCAAAAGACTTTACCAAAATACTTGAGCACACTTTGTCTATTCTGTAAGGGACACGTGAGTAACCACATTGGTCATTAAGGTCGAAACACAGCAACTTGAGTGGTTCCTCTTGAACAGTTACAGAGGAGATCGCCAGTAGAATGTACTTTTCTCTTTGAATTCTTAAACTGTTCCCGACGTCGTCCTCCACAACAATGCTGACCCTGTCGAAGACGAAGTACTCTTCAAGATATACTTCTAGATGTTGCGCTGAGCTGAAGTACGAATATGATTTCGCATTGGTAAAATGGCAGAGGAAGCTGGCTTCGTCACCTCATAGCTTCCACCTGTAACAAAAGACCAGAAGCAAAGATGAACCTGTCTGGAACAGCGGATTTACACACGGGGCAAGGGGTGAAGCGCTACTAGAGGTTTGACCAATTTAAGCATCTCGGTTCCATCTTCTCCAGCGATGGGCACCTTCCAGTCACGGTTAAATAGGAAGATCGTCGTTAACCTCGAGATCTGTCTAATATTTTAGTTAAGAAAGGAGTATTGTTTCCAGAAAAATTCAGTTTCGTCTCTGCCTTCTTCTGCAAGGTCAGTGTTGTTGTGCGGCATGGAGACGATTGTTCTACCACCAAGGAGCAAAAGCGACAGTTGAACTCGCACAGATTCTCACGTGGAAGAGTGAACAAAAATCGAAAATCGTTTTGGTGCTACAATTTAGCACGATTATGAATCCATAAGCAAAATAATACGTGCAATTGAATGTGTTGAGACACAGGCGACAATCGATAGGTGGTGAAAATGCAAGTGAATAATGTTTTACATATTTTTGTGCTATGTCAGTTGCGCTGGTAGTCGACTTACGCTGTTCTTGTTTTGATCCTGTATGATCGGTTGACTCTTAGACATATGATTTAAAGTGAGTTTAAAGCGACATAAGACCCGCCGTTGAAAGACTTTAGTGGAACACTGTGGGTAGTGGTTAGAGGAGCGACGAAGTTCCGCAATGCATGCTACAGGGTACTTGCAAGAAACAGGAGTGAACGTGAACAACAGCTGCACTTGGCTCGGCTTCTTTTTGCGCGTATCATTGATTCCACGCGGCGAAGACGAAAAACGATCTCTTTAAGAAGTGTTGCTTGTGACGGCAGATGATCGGGACGAGCGGCATGCTGATCCATATGACCAGTGGTCATCGGCTCGCAGCACCACGGGTTCCGGTGGTCAGGCGGGGGCATCGGCGACGCTACGTCGGTTGGTCAGCACGGAGAAGAGTGATGAGGGATGAGTAATGAATAAACGGAGGGCGAAAATCGATTCGTCGTTGCTAGTCCTCGTAGTCGTCGTTACAAACATCTGTACTTTGTGAGGCGATGGCAAAAGTAGGTGGCAGAGGAACAGCGCAGCAGCAGCAGCAGCAGCTGACGACGAGGACGACGATGATTCTAGCGTGCCTGCGGCTGGCAGCGGCGGCGGCGGCGGCTGTGGCTGTGGCTGCTACGGCTAATGACGAACGAGTCAGTGAGTCTGAACCTCGGC